CCCAAGTGCAGGACCCGGCCCTGAGCCTTGTTGAATCTCATGCAGTTGGCCCCGGCCCATTGGTCCAGCCTGGCCAGGTCCCTCTGCAGGACCTTCCTATCCTCCAGCAGATCATCCTCCATCATCTTAAGCAGCAGCCTTTCTGCAACTCTCCCATTATTTTTCTGACTTCTTGTCACTCAGTTTTCTTTGCAACCAAGGGCATTTCAAGCGACAAGAGGCACTTCAAGGTTACTTCACAGAATCACACCTGAAGATGCCCTGAAATGGGAACTACAGAGGACCAGACAATCTCGCGCTGCGAGAGGAGGCACCCCAGCTGGGAACGCAGCGCCGGACGGAAGGTAACCCAGCAGCAGCGAGACGAAGCTAAGGGCAAAACAAACCAGCCTGAGCTAGACGCCAGAACAGCAGATCGTTTAGCAGCAAGCTCGGCAGAAGCAGATGTCTCTGAAGCAGGGGTATCCTCCAGGAACAGCCGCCCCTACAGCAAGTCCCCAGCGCAAGCAAAAGAGATCTTAAGCTGGCAAAGGAAAGTCTCATCTGGCAGCCTAGTCCTCCCTAGGAGATGCCTAGATACAGCACAGTGAAGGAGGGAGCTGACAAACTGCCTAGCATCTGTCCTGGTACAAGCCAGAGACTACCAAGCACCCTCACGTACCAGTGGAGCGGCTCCTTTATTCCTTGAAATGGAAGATCCACTACATAGATAGGAAACACAAACTACCCGGTCCTCCTGAAACCCAGCTTTACGATATCTGCTGCTGCCAAAGCCTGTGATGAGCTGCGGGAAGCCTGTACAGTAAACCTCAAGTTTATGAAAAAAATAAACATCAGCATGAGATCTGGAGCACACGGGAATGATAAACGCCAGGGCGTGAGAGCCACAAAGGCACTTGGATCCTCATAATAAAGTCACGTCTTGAGCCGGCACTTGAAATGTTCCCCCCACTTGGAAAAGCAGCCTTTCCCCGAATGTGCTGGGTGTGCCTTGGCGTCGTTTGCCTTTCTCTCACAGCGCTCTCAGAACAAGCAGCTCTCACAAAGCCTGACCAATTTTATCGTTTTTAAAAGTCTTGGTCAGAACAATTCTGATTCTTGAGCTTTATCCCCAACCTCATTGCACAGCGCTTCCATCCTGGGCAGTCGCTCTCCAGGAGAAGCTTGCTTCTGCTGTCCTCCAACATCTACGCCTCTGTGTTTGTACCATTTGCAGAAAGGCTCAAACGTACAAAATAAAGTGCAGAGGGTACAAGAGGCAAGTCATGCAGGGTGGGTGGGTTTTCATGTTTGATAGCCCAACACGAAGAGCGAGCCCTTCACAGTTTGGGTTTGAGGTTGTCCTGAGGGACCCGACGATGAGCCTTCACCATTGCAGAAGCACGCGTGGGGTGGGGGGAGCAGACGCATCGCCTGCTTCCTCCAAGGGAAGTCTAGGGCTCGCGTCTAGAGTCCATAATCTTTTGCAGAGTCATTTCTAGAACAGTCAAAAAACTTCATACTCAAAAAGAATTGGAGGTTGTTTTTGTCTTGGAGGAGGGAATCAGTTTCTCCTAGGTGTAGATAGGAAAAAATAAGAAGGAAGTAATAATTTTCCATAATTAAAAAACCCACAGAACCAAAAGATACTGCTTTTCAAGAACCCAAATCAAGAAATACCAGGATACATCACATTTTAAGTGCATTTAAAAAAAAAAAAAAAAAAAAAAGAAGAGAAGAGACTGTGCACGTTCTTTTCATTTTTTTTATATTTGTTTTGACTTCGAGCTTCCACGGCCGCGCGTGTGACTGAATGAGAGTCAGGGAACAACAAAGCAAAGAGTTTGATGACCCCCTTCCAAGACCAACTGCCAGCAAGTTAAATAAAGTCTACTTATTTTATTTCTGGATTGACAAGTTCCTTTAGCCAAGAGAAACAGACCCAAAACCTAGTTTGTGAAGACTGCTTCTGCCAGAAATACGCTCTAGGAGGAGAGAGTTTTTAAGTTTGCTGGCAGCTGCAGCCTGGGTCTTCTTTAAATAGGAATAAGGATAAAACATCAGCAAAAGCCCAGCCCCAGGTTCTCCGGAGCAGGGTGGAAGGTCAAGACCGCGATATCTAAACGCAAGAGACAACACCCTGTCTGCCCGCTTACTCTCCAAGCCATAACACAGTTCTATGCATGCACGTTTCGAGTTTCGATTGTCCAGGAAAGCTTCCCAAAGGTCAGAAGACACCACGGCCAAGTTGTCTAACGCCTTGCTTCGCTCCCCATCCTCCCCAGCATGGGGATTAAGACCAGCTTTACTGTGACTCCGCAGAAGATGGGGGAAGCAGTCTTAAAAGCCTCTGGCCAGCTCATGGTGCTGCCAGACAACGTCGTACTTCTTCCAAGTAGCACTGGCGTGCTGCAGGCACCGCGTTTCCAGAGCACGCACCACATATACACTGTGTCATCAGCATTTTCTCCCCTAGAGAGAAGGGTACACAGACTTGCACGCAGACAGGGAGCTGGCTCCATTTCTGTAGACAGTTCCAAGTAACTTTTTTTAAAAAAAACCAACAAACCTCCTTTGGAATAATGTGCACAGAATTTTAATTTACTCAACTAGACAAATGAACAGTTTCCCATTTGCAGCCTAAATTGTTCTCTAAGTGCCTAGATGGTTGTCAGCACCATAATATCTCCATACCTCCCAATTTTTAGTTTCACAAAGCACCTCTGTAAGCGTTACGCACCCCAGGTTCCCACAGCATGAAGTGAAAAGCTGCACCCTCAGGTTCTCAGACCGAGGGCATTCTGGAGCCCGCAGCGACCCTCCAACAGCCCTTCTTCTTTTTCTCCTCAACCTGCCTACAGGCCTCTGCATGAGGTGGAAGATGACCGGACTCGGCCCTAGACCTGTCTCGAGTCTTTTCACAATTGATTTTCAAAGTTCATTTCCACTCTGTTTCTGTTCCACGCTACTGGGACTGGCACGAGCCTAAGCACACCAGCGACAAAAATTTCCATGAGTACGTCGTCTAGCGAACAAGGAACACAGCGAGATCATCTGTTATTGCATCCAGCAGCACATGTGGACACTTACTCTGCCAAAACCCAAACCTGTTTTCAGCAGGTTTTACACAAAGATCTGTCCACATAACCAAGGGGAAAAAAAATAAATATCATCCCTGTCTGCTTGCTGCAGGTTTAGACCCGGCTTATAAGCAATAAGCTTTTAAAGGGGAGAGAAGCAGCATGCTCATCCATCAGTGCAAAGCAGA